TAGTGGAAATCTATCACTGTTAGGAAATGAATACTGATGATCAAAACAAAGTGGATAGCGGGTCAGATGTTTGAAATAAAACCAGTTATGTAATCAACTGGTTAAATGTGGTAAATAGAGGATATACCCAGCTTTGTTGGGCGATGGATGATGGTGAATGTTGGGGTGACTGCAGGGGTGATATTAGTGAAGAAAATCCAGCTTGTTCAACTGGTTCTAATGATGGAAGAGGGTTTATCTTAATACCGGTTTTATGTTGAGAAAGAGGAAAATTTTCTGGTGGTTATCAATGTAGAACAATGGAAATGCTTGCACTAAACCTGAAAATAGATATCCGGTCTTGATCAGTGATTAATGGCAACCAATGAAGGAGATTCAAGGGGCAGTATTTATTGTTTGGCATGAATCTTTATAAGAGTGCATATTTCTTTCTAGGGGTTTTACGACCTTGATGAACAATAACCTCCCAAAGAGCAAGTGTATTGCCCAATTCTTATTTCCTATCTCTATATATAACAACTTTGAGTTTAATTCTACCTTTGCTTCATTTGTTTTTTCTGAATTTCTGTCTTTTAATTTGCTTGCACGGAGTGGATGACCTTCATATAAAGCTAAATTATTTAGATAGAGAAGCTGGTTATAGCTTTCTCAGATCTAAATTGAGCAAAGGTCTTTTTCCCCCTCTTTCTGCCTCTCAATAAAAATAATAGTTTTTTTTTATTATGAATTTGTTACATTTGGGTGGGTTTGGGTTGGACTTCATTGCTTCAACCCACCCATTTAACACCCAACTGCAAACAGCCTAAAAGGGTGTGTTCAGCCCACTCCACCTCTAACACAACCAATAAGCACCTAAATCCTATGCATTTTCAAGTTAGTTGTAAGCTTTAACAGGTTAGGTTTGGTGCAGAAAAATATTTCCCATTGCTTTAATATCAATTTAGGCAATGCGTACTGAGATGTCAATGATCTTGGATGATTCTCCCATTAATCATCCATTACTTATTCCCTCTATCTCCCTTTGTTGCTTGTTCACTATTGCCAATTCTTAGGGCTAGAGTACGCATTCCATAACTATATATAAATTTTCAAAAGCCCTTGATTAGGATTGTGTTTCCAAATAAACTGTGGCAAAAGAGTAATTGTTGTATAATTAAAATTTTAAGGTGACCACTTTCATTACCTTGGTCTGATAATCCATAATAAGGGAGAGACTGAAGAGGAGGAAATCACCCATAGAAATTAGAGCAAGATGGGCAAAAAGGAGAGGCGAATCCAAGGTCTTATGTGATGGTTATGTGCACTTCCTATCTAAATAATGCTCTCAACGAGATCTCTGAAAATAATTTATAGTACTGATTAATTAGGTTCAATCAATCATGTACCATTAATAAGGTACTAAATAATAATATGTGTGAAACATACAAATACAAAATAAATTCCATTCATTTCCTCATTTGAATTGGGTTCACAGCCTTCAGGGAACTATTCCCTTCAGATCCTTTAGCAATAATCCCAATCACATGTATTGGACCAAATTACATAAATTAATGATTTTTCCTATGTGACCTTCTGATTGATTATTAGTCCCATATTACTGATAAGTTAATAAAAAAATCATATAAAGACAATAGTGCAAGATAACAAACACATACGCATAATTATATTAAGGGAAAATATTACTGTTCAAATAAAAATGTCTACAAGTATATACAAAAGTCAAACTCTAACCGTGGTCGTAGGTTCGATTCCCACAAATGGCGCCAATTGATAGGGCGCGATCTAGTCACTCTTATCTGGCAGCGGATGCGTTCCTAACTGGCGACGGACGAGATACCTGTGAGGAAGAAGAAGGATCCCCGGGGAGCTCTCCCGGTGAGAATACTCCAATGCTTAAGTTAATAGCAGGAAGAAAGAGTTGCAGAGCAAAAATGAAAGGGCTAGAGTGCAAATCATGCAAGTTACCTTTGTTCTTGGGGGTCGGAGCTCTTATATACTAATGTCCTAACAAATCAGGTATAACTACCTCTGAATCTCTGTCGTAGTTGTTACTTGCCAAGGCTGAGCTGGTGGGCACAGGTAACCGTTGCAGAGTACGACCCTGCCAGATAAGGGACACCTCTCAGGGTTGGGAGGCACGATGCCACCTGGATGGAGACGTGGGCACAGTCTCCAAATTTGGCAGGTACGGTTGTCAGGCAGGAGATCTTCCTGTGATATGTCGAGTTGCTCTGCCCCGAGCTACCTTGTATCGAACTACCCTGTGCCGAGGTGCTTCTACCCAAGGGGGCCTACTTGAGTTTGGTCGGGCGAGTTTATTCTTAGGAGGCTGCCGAGCTCAACCCGAAGTGCCTTGAGCTCGGGAGATTCCCGTCTTGGGAGGATCTTAGCTCAAGGCATTTCCTACTTGGAAGAACCTTAGCTCAGGGTAATCGAAGTGTCATCTTGTAGCGAGCTACCACGCTGGATCTTGGCAGGCTGGTCGTGCTGAATTGTTACTTATGTTGAGTCACGTCCATGTATCCCTTTATGATGAGTTCTGGCCAAATCACCCTCCATCAAGAACCATGCCCCGAGTCAAAACTAAATTGGTTACAATATGAAACCAAAAGTCACACCATACATTTTGTAGACATTCTGCAATGGGATATTTGATGAATAACATCTGATGTCCTTTATTTTAACCTCACAAAATGTTGTGAGATTTTAGTTCTAGTTAGTTTATCCTTAGCAGCAATTTCCATAATGCCCCAAATAATCCCCTTGGACTGTTTGAAAAAAAAACCAGCAATAGAACTGGTAAAGATAAAATCACTTATGGTTTTCCATTTCATTTAAGCACAAGTTTACTATCCAAAGGGAAGATGATACCAGTTGGCACTTGCTAAGACAAGATAAAGATTAGGTCCTTTTAGGATGAAAGGAACAGATTCATATTCTTTCTTCCTTCAAACTGAAAATGACTCCATTTTTTGAGGTCATTGTGGGTTTAAATTATATTTCAAATTAATATTAAATATTTAAATTCAAATAACATCCAAATACCATGCAAATGAATGCTTATGCTACCCCTTTTGTGATTGACCACCATATCCTTGGTATTCCGGCTTGTATTAATTCCTTCCAAATAGACAAAGCACTAATAGTCTCAATTTCTTATTGTACCATTGCAATTTATTTCTCAGAGTTGAATGGATTTTACCTTTCAATGCTCCATGCCATTCATTTGGTTGGTATAACCAAAAAGATCTTTCTAGGTAATAATCAAATTTGCAAAAACTATTGTATTTAAATGTCATCATGTGATGAGGAACAGACCTGAAAGTGTATTCATTTCTGGCTCATGAGCATGAAAATGTTTTTTGTTAGTTCTCATTAGATAGATTGGTTAACAACAACTTATCGGTGACAGGATTATTTAGCAATTTATCAGAGAGAAGAATCATAAAACAAGGCCAAAGAGTGGTTACCTTGTTCAGTGCAAGTGTTTCAAGCACAATCATTGAAGAATTGGCTTTAATGGAATAAAAAGGGCAGCCCTGTGCATGAGGTTCCTACCAATGCAGGGTCTGTGGAGGGATAGATATATGTAGTCTTCTCCCTGTGCATACAGAGAGGCTATTTCAAAGATCTAAACCCAAGTCACCTAGGTCTCAGTTGCGCCAAAACCCACACCCACCCTCATCCGCTTTAATGGAATAGTTATAAATTTTATTCCTCATTGTAGAAAGCATAACGAGAATTATTTATGTATATAAAAAATAGGGTACACATGAAGATGTAGATTAATGTTAAAAAATGTGCAATAACAGTCCTCCAATATGGAAACTAGCCAGATAACAAGCTATGTAGATGTTTGAGAAACTGATTTTTTAGCTCATTGATTTCTCATAAATCAGAGAAATTGTTTGTTTGGTAATGATTATCAGCAATGGTTTTTGTGTTTATAGGAATCATTGAATTTGCTGGTTTCTCTTTTCGGTTCAATTTTAAAAATTGTTTTCTGACCTACTTGTCCATTTACTGATTATCATTGAATTTGTTGATTTCTTAGAAATTGGCCAATCAGACACCAAAATGATCAGTAATTTTTTTAACGAAAAAGTACAGACAAGTTCATTGCAGATTTTCTGAATTTCACTGCACACCTATAAACATTCAAAATGTCAAATACCCCCACTCCATAGGCACACCAATGCCTTCCCATAAATTGGCATCAATTCCAAATTGACACCTACCTCAACTATATTTTGGGATTAAAAATTTTGACCCTGGGCTGAACCGTCATTCTCCTTTTTTTTAATTGTTGATTACTGATGTAACATCAATTTATGAGAAATTGGCATTAGTCCCAAACACCACCATAATAAATCTTTATCTGAATTCTAGGCATCTAGCTAAAAAGCCCACCGAAGCCCAAAACCATTTAACTTGGGCTCCATGAAATTTGCTTAATCACTTTCCATCACATTTGTCCATTTTCATTACATCAAATAAAATCATCTCGTGCAGTTAAGGCTTAATTTGGGAGCTAAGGATTTCGGACAAATAACCATATATTGGCAAAATCTTGGTTTCTTTTTCACTGGTCAAGTTTAAGATGGCGATTGGCATAGGGGAGAAAAAGTCGGTACTTGCTTTGAATAACTGTTCCATGTTCATGTGTCTTGATACCATAATATTCATTCGTGGAGGTGGCAACTTAAAAGGCTAGAAAAAGACCTGAAGACAACAAGAGGGTTACCTCTTAATGGTGCCTGCTTTGAAGTAGATATTTTATTGTTCCTGTGGCAGAGGCATTTTATCTTCAACATCTACTTCTTTCCATAATTCTTGGTGATTGATAGCCAAATGAAATAAAAAATAAAAAAAAGAAGGGATGCCCCATACATATTTCGCTTCCCATCAATATGGACCAAAAGTGGAAACTGACATTTCTGATTGATCACTTTATGAATATTCGTTGGAAGAACACTCCTCACACCAACCTCACAATGCTTCCTAATATATCAAAAATATATCCTGTATTTTGTACAAGAAAAATTCTCAATAAGTATCCTGTATTTTAGGCTTAGTGCTAAGGTGAGGTGCAATTTAAATGTTTTCATAATGTCAAAACTAACCTCCATCATAATTTTCAAACCATTTTACCCTTTTCTCTTATTTTTTCCCTTTTCCCCTTTCTCTTCAATCTAGGTTGAAGAAGGATCAAGAGAAGTGGTAAGTGCAGCCCTTCGTTCCGAATTCAGTGTTCATAGGTGGTAAGCGTAGCCTTTGATTCCGACCTCCACGGTAATTTTTTGACCTCCTGCTCTTGCTCGCGTAGGTGGTAAACTTCGATCAACTCCAACTTGAAGGAACATAGAGGAGAGGAGAGGAGACTGTTCACGCGCAGGTTGAATGAACGTCAAAGAAGGTGGTAAGCTTTAAACTCCTAACGTCTGATCAGTTTCACAAATTAGCTATCGTACTAGAGTGGCTGAGTGGTTGCCTGTCAGGTCGTCCGTTATGAGAGAGCGCAAGGTCCAATTCTGAGAATTGATGAGGGCGAGGAGCTTGCCGACTTTTGGGATTCTCTAGCTAGTGCTCCGGTTCTTAGTGATGATCTTGACAAAGTGGCCGGAAAACTCGATTTTTCTGCCGGTAAGGATCAGGTTGCAGCGGCAATTCGTCTTGGGGTTGGTGGGAAGAAGGTGGATGAATATGATTTGGACTATGAGATTTTCCAGAAAGCGCTTTCGGGTGGTGTGGTTATACAGAGAAAAAGAACCTAATTTTTCAGGTTGAAAAAGTCCCTTTCCCTAATTTTCTTCCTCTTCTTTTCATTTGATTTGTTTGGAGGGGCAAGGTGGCTGTTTATGAAGTATATATGTAGGAAAATAAATGGATGCGCAGCAAGAAATGGATGGGGATTGGAACATTGTCTAGGAAGAAATGGATGTCCAGCAATAAATGTCTCTGCTTTTCGTCTGATCAGTTCTGGCCATTGGTACGTTGCCCAGCAAGAAATGAATGGGGATTGGGAAATTTTGATTTTTTGACAAATGGTTATGAAGTATATATGGAAAGAAAGTGTGAATTAAGGCTCTCCATCACTTCGTAACGGTCTCACCTGTGTCTCTGTAATTCGATCAGTTTGTTTACTCAGATTCATCTGGAGCTCTATACAGAAGCTACAGCCAACAAGTTAACAGAAACAGCTTGGCCAAACCCAGTAGTTGCACAGCTAGACCTTGAACCCTCTAAGAAAAACCAAATTTTGCCGGAGGCATCAGAGATGGTGGGACCAAAAGGTTCAGTAGCAGTAGCTTCATATAGGCTGATCAGAAAATCCCTAAAAATCTTGCATTAAAATCAACCAGAAGTCAATGTAATATAAATACATTTAAAAAGCATAGAGAATAACAGAAAAAAGCAAAAAAAAAAAACAAAAAACAAAACCTGGTCGTCTCTTCCGGCACCGGCAACAAGGGGTCTTCTTCTCCGGCAACGGTTGAGTTAGAAAAAGGGGTACTGTTATCAGATGTGATTTCTTCCGGCAATTTCTTCCTCAATACACGGAGCAGATCTTCGAACGACGTTGTCTGGTTTGTCATTCGTCGATTTCAACTTTTCCAGCGTCACATTCCGCTTGACTTTACTGACGTGTGGAACTGGTTTCTTCGAAACTTCAGGTAATAGAATGGGTGAACAATGATTCCCACTTGCAGACAAACGATTATAGCTGGGTCATTTTCATCATTTCGAACCTGCAGGTGGGTAATTATGCCTTTTTTGCATTTGAGGTGAGTTAACGCCAGGTATTGATTTTAACAAATTGAAAATTGGGTACTAAATTGTTGGTATTTTAAAATCCGGATACTAAATTGACAATAGGCCTAAAATACAGGGTATTTATCGAGAATTTTCCCCTTGGCTCAGTTTCGATGGAGTAATGCAACATACAAGCTTTGCACTCTACGTATTTGTGTATTTGTACTCAATCCAAAACTGAGCCTAAAATTCTGGATTTGTACAATAACAATTGCATAAAGGTTTTTAACACCATACCACTTCAATTGGGTTGAAACGTGACCAAGACTCATGTGTGAGCATAAAATTCTTTAAATTAACAAAAGCCCCTACAATCATTTTACTTTATGAAAGAAAATTTTATTTACAAAGCCACAAAAATGTTTGGAGACATTTTCTAACGTTGCTTGGCTCACTACAAATGGCAAATGGGAAAGGAATCCTCTATCCGCCCTAGAAGGAACAGAAAGCATCACTGAAAACATCTGGAAACAGAAAAACATCTTAGCTCCCTCCATCCACATCATCAACGTCCAGGATAGAGAGGAACTCGGAAGTGGTTAACAAAGAAAACTAGGCCTAAGGTATGAGTAAGGAATGACTGCATCAAACGCATTCACCACTACCCAATTCAATCAACAGGGTACGTCTTCCTGAAAGATCAGCAGTTTTGGGTTCGCCATATTTGACTTGCACTGGTGCATTTCCGACTGCATTGCCATGCGGTGGGCAAGGGTTGACTAATTACAGGAAATACAACAAATGGGAGTTCTTTAATCTTGGTTACAAAATGTTCAGATCCCCCAAGAGCCCACAGTTTCCATATCAACCGGGGTGAGAAATCCATCTTCCGATTCAAGGGTTAACTAATTGGATAAATCATAACCACAAAGCAAATAAATTGGGATTAAGCTACCAACAACTTTCATTCATTGATCCAAATACATCATCATCACAGAAAGATAGGGTACGATGGAATTGAGTACAATGTTTGAAATCCCAAGAGGAGACGAGTATCCTAAACGTGAAATAAACAAAATTACATACAGACAAGAGAGTAAGAGAAGGGAAAGGGGGGGAAACAAGAAAAAAGGAGTCTTTCTGGCTTTCGCCAAAGCCATTCAAGCCTTCTTGGGAGATTTGACGGCCTTTGTAGGAGATTTAGGCTCTTTAGCTGCCTTCTCGGACTTCTTAGGCAAGAGCACAGGATTGATGTTGGGGAGAACTCCTCCATGTGCAATTGTCACACCGGCAAGAAGCTTTCCCAGCTCTTCATCGTTCCTCACAGCCAGAAGAACGTGCCTTGGGATGATTCTGTTCTTCTTGTTGTCTCTTGCCGCGTTGCCGGCCAACTCCAGCACCTGAAGCCAAATCCAATAACATCAGAAACCGCAATAAAACTTCCGAGGGAAGAAAAAAAAAGGCGTGATGCAACGAAGTCAAATGCGAGTTCGATCCTGGTTGAACTTAAAGACTTCTTGTGAATTCAGCATTTCAACGAGAAATTCTAAAGTTAGAAGAAACTATGAACAAAAATAGCATTTCCCTTCAAAAATTTCTACTACGTTTTTTGTTTATAGAAAATTAAAGAAAAAAACAAGAAAATAAAAGCTCGGACATTTTGAAATCCAGCCAAATTACCAGATGGTAGAATAAAAATAAATGTTCAACGAAAAAAAAAAAAGGATTAAAGAAAAAGTTGAAATAAGGGAATCTAAGAAATGAGGCACAGATATAAAAATTGAGACAAAGAGAAGGATACTACCTCAGCTGCAAGATACTCAAGGACAGCGGCCAAATAAACAGGGGCACCAGTTCCGACACGCTGTGAATATCGGCCCTTTTTCAAGTACCGACCGATCCTTCCAACAGGGAACTGCAAACCAGCCTTCACAGACCGAGAGACTGGCTTCTTCTTTGGCCCACCTCCTTTCCGTCCTCCAGCACCTTTCTTCACTTTTCCGGTGGACTCCATCGCTCAACCTTCTCAACGGAAGAAAAAAGAAACACGAGATCACGCCGGAGTAACGACTCCCCCACACCGGAAATACGACCGTCCACACTTGTCCGAAGAGAATGAGGATGTGTTGGGTGGGGCTTGTGTGGCCAGTTTTATATGGTCTTGTTGCCCGCACTTAGTTTTGGGTTTGAAGGGTTAATACCGTTAGATCTTTATTTTAATCGACGGCCTTGGGCTTCTCATGTTGCGATCCGTGCATTTAGAAACGAACCAACGGGGTGCGAGATTGGGTCACTGCGTTTTTTAGCGGGGAAGTAAAAGTGGATGACTGGAGGATAAAAGGAATGAAGATAAGACTGGGACCCGATCTGACTCATTGGACGGGTAGATAAATCTGAAATGGGTCCCATTATTTTCTAATAATAAAATAAAATGATCTTATGGACGGTATGATAATAAAATGATAATATTAATTATATTAAATTAATAATCAAAATTTGTTATTAATTAACTAAAAATATTTAAAGTTATTGTTAATATCTAAAATTTTAACAATTGTACTTTTATTTAATGTTGATTTACATAAAATAATTATTGTTAATTTAATATGAACAAATATTTTGTAATAAATTTAATTTTATTAATTATTTATAGTAATTTTAATAATTGCTATTATTTTTAAATAAAATTTTAATTAACTTAAAATAAATAAAAATAATAGCAAAAATTAATATTTTTATTAATTTCACTAATAATTAACAATTATATAGAATTGACAACCGGGTGGGTTCAGGGTAGGGCACTCCATCCCTGTCCTTGCCCCATAGTCAAGACACTTTACCCCATCCCTAGTGTTAGGCGGGTTTAAGGCAAGGCAACCACTTCTCAATGTTGGGCGAGTTCAGGGACAAGACACCCCACTCCTCATAAAGGAAGGAGAGTCCTCAAATTTCCCCATCTCGTCCCTAGTATTGGGCGGGTTCAAGTAGAGGTGTAAATCAGGTTGTATTGGGCCAAGCCTTGGGCTAGGCCAGGCCGTAGACCAAGCCAAGCTATGAGAGGTCCATTTTCAAAAAAAAATTAAAAAATGATGTTTAAATTTTTATTTAATATGATTTTTGATGTATACAATTGTTTATATATACAATTAGACATATTCATAGGCCAGGTAGCCCGACAGCCCAGCCCGGCCTAACCCGTTATTTTTCAGGCTTTGACAAAAATTTAGGCATGTGGACTCGAGCCCGGGCTTTCCCAAATAAGCCTGGCCCGATACTATTATATATATATATATAAAGTACTTATGTTATATAAATAAATATATATATATATATATATGCTTCTTAAATTATTAATAAATATCAATTTACTAATATGAAATATAAATTAGTTTATTAATTTATATAAATTATTACTAAATTAATATAATATTAGTTTATAAAAGTATACTGAAAATAAGACATTTTCTGTACAAATCGAGCTTCAGGCTTGGGCTTTATATAAGGGTTGGGCTCGAGCTCAAGATCTAGGCCCGATGGTTGGGCTAGGCTCAGGCTCGAGCTTGCACATTTTCTATTGATAAAGAGGCATGTGTTAATTATAAAACTATGCTTTTTTACAAATTAAAATTTTTATTTAATTATAGTCTAGTATAAATATATATATATATATAACATTTATATATATATATATATATATATATATATATATATTAATATAAAATTTGTTATTTAAATATTATACAATAATATTTACCATATATGCATATAAGTTCTAAGTTGAATTTATTAGGGGTTGTTTAGCTTGAGTCCTATCCGCTGAATCTTTCATTGAACTCCAAAAGTTTGATACCCAATTAGACTTCGAATTAGATTATCCCTGATAATGTGTGGGCATGGTGCATATCACAGCTAGACCTAACTCAAAAGAAAATAATTACTTGAGCCTGCAAATTTATAGATTTAATCGAGTTAGGTTAAGTTATAAATGATTTATTATTTTTTATTATTATTTATTAAAATATTTTTAGCTATTAAAATATTGTAATTATTAAATTACTATATTTAAAACATAGTAATTTATGGAAATTATCATATTTTCAAGAATATTGCTAATTTCTTTGATAAAATTAATTAAGTGTACTTTTTTGGTAATTAAATATAACTTTTTGGTAATTAAATGTAATTTTCTACTATTTATAGCTTAAATTATAGTTACTGTTAATTACCATTTAAAATAATTATTGTTAATTATATTACTATTAATAATTAAAATACATTATTTTTTTCATTATTATTCAGTATTTTTTGCAATGAAATACAATTAATTTAATTTTTTTAATTATTTATAGTAATTTAATTAAGCTTTGGGTTTTTCATAATTTTTGAGCTTTTAATTAATTTTTGGTGTTTTTTTTCATTATTATGTAGTAATTTTTGCATATGAGTATTTTTCAATTTTTTTAGTATTTTCATTATTTTTCCATATTAGTCACTACAAAATTAATTTGCATTTGCTTTCAATAAAATAAATTAAATAACTAAATAAATAAATACCATAGTCAATAAAAAATACATATATTTTTCAATAATTTTTAGCTTTTGTATTTTTTTAATAATAAAATACTATTAATTATTTTAGTAAATACTCTTATTAATATAAAATATTGTTAATTTTCAATATTTTTTAATTATTCTTAGTATTTCAATTATGTTTAGGTTTTTTAGAAATTTTCAGATTTTTAATTAATTGTTGGTATTTTAAAACTATCAATTAGTATTTTTATTAGCGTTTATTAAGGTCTCAACTCATAAGTTATCTAATAACATCATTAAAACTAACAATTAATATTTTTATAATTAAATTTCTTATTTTTATTAGCGTTTATTAAGTTGGATTTTTAAGTGGAATTGAACATAACCATTATATCGCCAAAAACCGTTGATTTGGTCAGCAAACTGCTAACCTGGGCAGTCAAACCATTTGAACTGTCCAATGGTTTTGGCCATTTTTATTTTTTGTTAGAATGGGCAGTCTGTTCTGTTCAAACGGTCAAACCGTTCGACTTGGGAAACGGACCTCTAACCGGTTCGTTGTTTGGTTCAGTTTTAATAAACTTTATTTATATTATTACTATTCTCTCTATCTCTCACTCTCTCTCTTAAATGTAACAATAACATTCATTAAAATAATAGGCCTTGGAAAACTCAAATGTCTCTCTCTAATAATGTGTAGCTTTAATCTAATCAACATAAGCAATGACTAATGTTTTATATTTTTAAATAAAAGAAAATAAGAAAAAAATACAAAAAATAAGAAAATAGATAAATACCTTATCTCAAAGGAGAGACATGATGACATGGACAATCCTATATATATATATATATATATATATATATATATGTGTGTGTGTGTATGTGTGTGTGTGTTGTTTGGCAAGTACTTTTTAGGAAGATCTTGGGACAGTTTAGATGGCTAAAAGATGTTGGCCGCGTGATAAGCTATTGGGGTCTTGTCTAGTTGTTTTTAAGGTTGTGTTTGGTTGCAATGCAAATAAATTTGCACTTATGCAAAACTATGACAATGTAAACGATTTTAGTGTAAATTCTGACCTATTTTTTTTTCAAATTCTAGCTTAGGCTGCATTTGGAAGCGATGTAAAAATTACATCAGTTCAATTTTGTAGGCATTTGTAAGGAGCATGTAATTATGATTGATGTAGAACTCCACTCCGGTTCAGTTTTGTGTGTGTTTCGATGGAGTGGAGTTTTACGTCAATAATCGATGTAAAACCTCATAAAGCATAAAGCTTTACATCGATAATCGATTTAAAAACTATATTGATTTTATCGATGTAAAATTTTACACTCTTCCACCCATCGCATTTTTCAAAAAGCAACAGTCACTTTCACGGTTCGGTGAAAAATGTTATCAATGTATTTTCACACCGATGACACTTTACATTGATTCCAAATGTAGCCTTATTTTGTTTGATTGTAGTACAAATGGAGTAAATCAAGACATAAAGCATTGTTCATGCTTTTAATATAATTTATAAAATATGTTAACTTTTTAAAAAATATATCAAATAAAGGCAAAAGCATTGTTCGTCTTCTTCTTCCTCCAAACCACCGAATAAATATCTTTCAAGATTAATAAATATTTTTCCCATTTGGCTTTCGCCCCATTCCCGCAAACCTTAATGACCACCATCCACCAGTGTCATTGCTGCCTTTGCCCACCTCCGACAATGCCAATATAATGATATGACTCTACTACACCAGCCAGTGGCGGGATTAGGATGTGTACACTTGAGTGGAAGAGAATAAACAAAGGCTTTTTGAAAGATGACGAGGAGATCATTGTTGGCTTCATCTAGGTGCAGCATCATCAGTGATGGAGTGGGCTGGGTTTTGTTTGTTGGTTTACACCTGGAGGAATTAAATTAAAAATCACTTGGTGCATCCTCAAATTTGTTTAGATTCTTAGATTGATTATTAACTCGTTTATTCATGAACATATACCATAATAAAATCAGTCAATATAGCCACACGAAAATAGAAGTTCAGATTTCATACTACAGTGTGATAGATTGATCTAGAAGACTAGAACGATTCTTTACTATGCAATCCTCACTTTTTCTGTACTCTTTCTTGTTTGATTCATGGTTGAGCTTGGTGTGGTGGGTTTGGATTAATTTTTCCTGTAAGAAAAACCAACAGAATTTTTTTTGAAGAAAATCGGGAAAAAAAGGCACTTTTCTTCTTGTAATCTTGTTCTTGTATGGTTATATTCAAAGAGCTGTAGCTGTATAGTCTTGTAGTAGAGACGTTTTGTCATTAGTTCGTAGCTGTTTCGAGTTTTCAGATCAGAGGGAGAACAATATGGCAAACGAGGCATGTGAAAGTGTGAATGGAACTTATTAGTATTTCTTTTTACAAGAGTGAACAAAAAAGTTGAGATCTATGTTTGAGAGAAATTTACTCAGTGGTTTGGAGGAGGAAGAAGATGAACAGTTTTTTGCCATTTTTGGTATATTTTTGAAAAAAATAACCTATTTTATAAATTATATTAAAAGGATTATTTTTATTGATATTAGGGCCCAAAAGTTGCCCTTATCAACTATAATCCCTGA